TCGTAACCTCCCCAAAAACACAAACCTGGAGGTGTGTTCGGTTTCATTCACTCATGTTTGAGTACCACTTTATTATAAGTCTGTCTACAATAAGTCTTCTCAAAATGCTCTGTTCCACCTTGTGATGTCATGGTGGGAATTTTAAACTTAACAGCTCCTTTTACATTTAGCTCAGTATACACAGGCAATTCCAGAGTTGAAATTGTAGTCAAGGTGTATGGAGTTTACAAACACAGTGGAACACCTGTATTACCACATGACATCACAAGGTGGAACAGAGCATTTTGAGCAGACTTATTGTAGATTTATAATAAAGGGTTACTCAAACATGTGTGACGAAACAGAACACAACTCGAGGTACAGTATGTTTTTTTATGAGGAAACAACATTAGTCTCCTTCACTTTTATTCTGTGTTTTTTAATACCGTGTGAGCTTTGTGGTTCTGTTCTCTGTGTCTTTTAGTATTATTATTATTTTTTTTTTATTTATTGTTTTTTTTGTTTTTGTTTTTTTTAAGAAGTGCCTTTATTTATTGATTTTATTATTTGTGTTCATTGATTTTATTATTATTCTTTTATCTATTGATTTTCTATTTTTTAAATTTTTGATTCTAAGTTTTGCATTGCTATTTGAAGTACTTTGGAAATGGTCTTGTTTATAAAATGTACTATACAAATAAAGCTGGACCTTTAGTTCTGCCCATTAGCCATAATTCAGGCTGACAAATCTGCAATCTGACAATTAAAGCAGCAAATTACACCACAGAATCCTGACCTGCCCTTCAGCTCAAGTTTAAAATTATAGGGATTCTAAAATGTCACATGAATGCAAGCTATTTCTTTTATTTTTGTCTTTCCTAGCTCTTGTCTTGAATAGTAAAGTGTGACTTCTGAGAGCACTATAACAGCCTACAGGAGCGTGTGTATGTGGACTGAGTCTGGTTTACCACAGCCTTGGTGCCACAGCCCTCCAGTGGGATCTTTGCCGTCAAGTGGGTGCTATTATAAGAGACGGGGCAGGTGGGGCTGTTGAGCTGCAGTTCATTGATGTTGATTCTGGTGAAGGAGCTGATGGGCAGGACCAGGGACATCTCCGTCTTTTCACAAGTCAGGACTGTGGCGTGTACAAGGCAAAAAGGAAGAAGAAGAACGCCAATGACAAATATAATAATAGTATAATTGTAATGCTTTGTTAGTTAAAGATTGTGTTGTGATCTTACCAGTTCCAGTAGGAAGAGCCATCATTTCTCCTGGAAAATGAAAATAATAATAAGTCAAAAATCTTCTCATGTGGCTATGTGTAGTATTTTTCCCTTGTTTACTAATTGGATGCTAAACTATATTTATATAATTATGCCTTATTTAACACCATTCTCTTGCTATTTCTGCAACTTATTTAGAATGTATTATTACCATTTATATATGTTTTTCTCTTTGTTATTATATTATATTGTAATATGTGAGCTACTCTGTCCAAGTTAGTTTATTTTCTTTGCATAATCATATATCATATTACAATGATTTAACACAGAAATTATACATTTTATGCATATCACTAAAGTTATTCTACAGACCAAAGGGGTTTAGGATGAAGTTTTAACACTTACACACTTTTAGGAGTGCAGGAAATAATACGTACTTAATTCTTTTGGTATACACACATACAGAATACAAATTATTACAGTATACAGTAATTTCCTTTGTGGATCAATAAAGTTTGTCTAAGTCTAAGTGTAACTCTAACTAACTTATAAGGGGCCTACAGCAATATATAAGTAAATAAAATAAAAAAGTTTGGTTCAGTAATTATTGATTGATTGATTGATTGCTTCGTTTTTATTTCGAGTTTGTGCCAAGAGAGAAATAATAATCATGTATACTACATAAACATTGTAAACAACATTTCTCGAAAAGGAGTGGGAAGAAGAAAACTTATATTAACCCACCCCTATTATAGTTCCACAAACTAGATTTGTTAGACAACTATACAATCCAAACTATTTATTCATAATTACCTTTTTTATATACCAGTATATATTCGTAGTAAAGCTAACCGAGACCAATTTGGATACACGTGGTGGTACGGGTGGTAGGTATGAGTTAAACGGATGACTTTTTGGCAAGTTTAAACAAAATTTTGGTTTCAGGAAGTGGTTCAATCTTGGAACAGTGAAATCTTTGTTTAGACCCCGTTTTATTATTAGAAGAGAACGTGTGAAGTCTCATGTTACCCTAATCAGTAAGGTTAGTAAGTGAGCTGAAGATTCATTCAAGTTTCATCTTTCTTTATATAAATACATTGTAGAAGTTATACAAGAAGAAGTTTGATCTAAAGTAGTGATAAGAGCTGTTTTATACTTACGTTGGTACAGCCATACACATCTGGGCTCGGACTGCAAACTGGAAAGACAGAAAGTTTCCGTCAGCCTCCAACAGGTATTTGATTGATATTGATATTGATATTTGATGAGGAGATAAAAGAGTACGTTTGAAATTACTCACTTTGGGGTATTGGCCACAAAGCAGATGGGCAGTAGACGAGCCAGCTTGTTCTCTGAGCGCACCCAGGCGATATTTAAAGAGGAGACGGGTCCCAGGGAGAGGAAATCACTTCTGTAGAGCTGTGGAGGCCCGATGACTGCGATCTCGGTCACACTGCAACCACAAGCACGCACAAGGGTATATTTTAGAATCAAATCAATGTTTCAAAACTGCGCTGCTTCGCTTTTCTGGTGGAGGATCCGCTGCCACCTCATCTCCATGGATGTGCTATTGCTTTATCTGGAAAGTTCCACAGTATGGCATTAAATGTTAAAGTTTGGATGGGCAAATTATGACACCAGGTTACAGGTTGCAGGTTACAGATCAGATCTGTGAACAGGCAATCCTGCTCATTACAATGTTAGTTCCTGCTCAACATTAAAAACGTCTAATCAAATAAATAAAAAGATAAATTTAATGTCATACTGTGGAGCATTCAAAGGAAAATTTATTAAAGGAGCAGCCGGTAAATGCTAAATCAAACTATTCGATTTTAAATAATCTGCAGAGGTCCAAAGTCATTCCTCACTTAGCAACCATTCTAATTATCCACCACAGTTTATAAGAGCTTTTCACAACTTTTAGAAATCAGTGCAATGTTTTGCCGTGACGGTAAAGCTAATGACAACTAGCATGTTAATGTGCACTTCCTGATTAACAAGAAACAAGAACAAGAAAATGCTTTATAATTAGACACAGACAGTACACAGCTGACTTATTTTGATGTCAAAAGCCTCTCATACATCTGTACTGAGGCGAGGAAAAATAGGGTAGGGCCTTTAAAGGGTTTTCATGGAGACAAGCAAATGGCAGATTCCCCATCAGAAAAATTACACAGTGCACCTTTAAGACAGCACACCAGACACAATTTATATTAGCATATTTTTAATCCAATGATTTCACTTTAATTTTTTCCTATAATTTTCCACCCTTTTTCATGATTGGAGGACAAAAAAAACCTTTGATTTGCTCCTAAACCTTAAAGAAGACCTATTGTGCTTGTGTCTGCTGTATAGTTCTAATATATGTCACCTGTGGATTGTAATTTGGATATTTTAAATCGCAATATTCATCTGAAACGACTTAATAAAAGAAACACATCTGCAACGTAGGTGCTGTCGGCGACTCCTATGGATGGCTGCAGATCACACTAACAAGTAGAGGATTTTTTTCATTTGTGCGAACATGACTACACAAAGCTGCCAAATCCTACGTGTATCACAGATTAAGAAAATAAAAGAGGAGGATGAAGTGAGTACAAAGCAATGGGCATGTGCCTTTGGCAGTGAAAACTAAATGAACATAAGCGATTAAAGTTTGCTTAAACGTGCACAAATCACTCCAAATACAACTACGAATGAGTAAATGGTGAGGAGATGCAACTAATATGGTTAAAAGTTCTGAAAAGTCGATTTTGCATAATAGGTCTGCTTTAACTGACATCAATTTAAAAAGATGGATTGATGTTAAGTTTCTTGTTGTAAAAAAGAATGATTACTGTGTGGACAATATGAATTTTCACATTTTGCATTAGACAAAAAGATGTGATATGTTACTGACATATTAAAAACAGATTTATGATAAGAAAATAATATATAGCTTTTTTTAAGTACAGTATAAGGGATTGTCTTGTAAAAGTATTTGGTGGGGTAATCATCTTTTGTGCACAAGAAACATTGTTTTACAAGAATGTGTGCATCTGTTTACCAACCTGGTTGCAAACTGACTCCTGAGACCTGTATACTGTAAAACCAAAACTACATCATTGCAAGTGGCTTTATTTGTGAAATGTACACAGTGATGCTTGTGAAAATAATTTGTCTGTCAATGTTGTCACTATCTATAGAGAGAATACATAATTTAAGTGATAGTTTGTGGGAAAAAAGTTGAGAAGAAAAGTACAAAAATACAGGAAGTAGCACTGAGTTCTAAAAACAAACTCCATTCAAAATATACAGACGTGGACAAAATTGTTGATACCCCTCTGGTAAGGAAAGAAAAATCAACAATGGTCACTGAAATAACTTGAAACTGAAAAAAGCAATAATTAAAAAAAAAAAATCCTGAAAAAAAAAGGCACTCTGACTGAATATATTAAAAGTCCTTTATTTCATGAAGGGACGCGTCTCTCAATTCTACTGAACATCTGTGAAAGGAGCTGAAAGATGCTGTCTGGAGAAGGAACCCTTCAAACCTGAGACAACTACAACGGTTTGCTCACAAGAAATGGGTCAAAATACCTATTGACCAGTGCAGAAGTCTCATTGACAGTTACAGAAATCATTTGCTTGCAGAGTTTGCCTCAAAAGGTTGTGCAACAAAAAATTAAGAACCATCATTTTTGTCCAGGCCAGTTTCATTATTTAGTTTTCTCTAATAATTCTGTTGAACCACAGGTGAAAAGCAATATTTGAATTTTCATTTTCAAGTTATTTCAGTGATTATTGTTGATTTTTCTTTCATTGCCAGAGTGATACCAACAATTTTGTCCACATCTGTATATATGTGATGTCATTGATTTTTATAAGTCTAATCATCATTATTCATTTCTTCGTTTACTTTATGGTTACATTATGCTTCTTAGGGAATTATGGACATTATATATATTAACATTATAATTAGGGAATTAGATGTACAAGAACAACCAGAAAGTAATTTTTTTAGTAGAACCTTAAATATACTGATGCGAACAATGTTTTAGTCAAATCTAACTTGTCTAACTTTCCATTTGCACTTTAAAGTCTAGTATGTGGAGAGCAGTCTAGAGCAGCACCTTTCATCGTTTGAATCGTAGTTGAGGGCGAAGGATTTCTCGTGGAATGAGAGGATGTAGAGGACAGAGTTTTCCTTCGGATTGTTGGCTGAGGCCACAGGCTCCGCACTGCAGCTGAGACTCCCCTTCTCAACTGTGACCACAAAAACACAGAGACAGCACAGCAACAGGGTCAGGTCAAAAGGGACAAATTCATCTGGAGGTACTGGTACTGGTACATTCTAAATATCTGCAATCTAATAAAAGTTTTAGCTGTCATAAAAGTGACAATAAAATGTATTAGAATCTGACATCATGTACTGTATTTCATTAGCCACTAGAGGGAGTATAGACCTTATTTCAGAAGTTTCCACAGGTGCCACTATTATCATTCCAACTGTATGTATATGCATACTCAACGGCAAAGAAGTTCTATAAGGGCTACAAAGCCGCTTTCAAGCCTCTCAGACAAAGGGTGCATTGTTGACTGCACATGAACTTGAGACATAATGAAGATTTTTCTCTAATTCTACATTGAAATTAAAGTAACACTTGCTCAATCAGAAGAGCAAGCCACACTGGAATGTAGCAGTCAGAAGTAACAATGTGCAGCGCAGAATAAGGGCAGTAAATCTATCATATCACAGATACACATTGACAGAGAAATTGCATTGCTGTGCTGCACCAAGGACATTCACTGCCAGCTTGGCCTTAGAGGTATAATACTCCTTACAACAGAAGCATAGTCAGACTAAGGCTGCTCGATTATGGAAAAAATCATTATCACGATTATTTTGGTCAATATTGAAATCACAATTACTGTCTTAAAACGATAATTTTTTAGCTATACGATGCATTTATTCAGCATTTCTCTCTCAAAAACACTTTGTTATTGATAACTTTCAAATTGAAAATAAATATAGGCTACAAATATGTACCTTAGAGAAGTTTTGCGATGTATATAACATAAAATGAATAAAATATACTTGAACATGAAATAAGGCATAAAAAACAGAAATGGATCCAAAATAAACTATATATCCAGCTGTTCTACAATCTCTATAATTGAAAAATAAAATAAATATACTTATTATACTTATTTATTTCAACTCAATTACATGAGTTTGGAGGTTGTTTGACACACAAATCAAAATCAAAATTTGATTAATTGCACAGCCTTAAGTCAGACTAGACTAGACTGGATTGGAATCCACTATCACAATGTGTTGAAGATTTATGTCTCTGGGTCCCGTACTGATATTAAATAAACTTCTGCATTTGAATCTCATGCCACTTCTCCAACCATAAACTTTATAAAGAAGTGAACTAAGCAGAGTTCAGCTCCACTCAAATGAACAGTTACAGGAGTGAATTTGGAGCCAGGCTTTATATAAGTTACAGGATTTTTTAAACAAACAAAAAAGCAAAATAAAACACCAGGATCTTATAGAGCGAGTTAATATGGACATTTTAAAACCAAAATGATGAGGCTCACTGCTGCAGTTACAGAGAGGGGGCCACAATATTTCAATATACCTGTAAAGTCAGTGGGATCCAGGGTCAGAAGGAGCCAGAAGAGCCGGAAGAGCCGCGTGCAAACTATCTAGGTCCATTTATATATACAGTCTATACTTCCAACTCTTGGCTATTTCAGTTAATTGTACAGCACACCTCAATCGTACTGAACGCAGGTGCTAAGATACAGTGTTTGTTTCTGAGAGACTGACCAGTGAGGGACAGGATGAATGGGACAGCACTCATTGGCTGGCTCGGAACAGGCTGCACTGTCTGAGGAGCGGGCACCAGGTCTTCTGCCATCATGTAAATGTGATACACTCCAGCTGTAGCATCACCAGTGAAAAGGAGCATACAATTTTTCTGGAACACAGAGCAGAGAGGGATGTCAACACTTGGCTTTATATTTCTATTTCAGATTTCATAAGCATGGGTTTCAGTAGCTGTGTTTACAAACAAAAATCTGAATTGTATGTCATTTTAATAGTCTTGTAACTCCAGAAATCTGTAAGACTCTCATTTGGATTGCCAGTATCAGTGTAGAAAAAGGAGTCGCTCTCATTCAGTGTCTTGCCTAAAAATACTGAATGATTTGGTCCCAGTGCTTGTTTGATGCTGGGATTAAACCACCAACTTTGGGTCAGTGGGGGAACAGTGGTAGCCTGATTCATCAGCCGGTTTCACTTCGTGGAAACCGTCTGACCTCGCCACATTAGGATGTGTTCACTCAACGGTAGGCGGAAACTTTTTTTACTTATTTGGTTGTGATGTATGTAATGCGCCAAATCCCGTAGGAAGAAGGGCAATAACGTCTTTCCCCTTGATAAAATTCACCAAACATTCTCTTTGTTCCGGCTTTAAATCCTTGATCTCAGGAATCGTTGCCAACACAGAATGTCTGTCTTCGTCTACATTCATCTCAACCACTTTGTTTACTGTTGTACTGTAATACAAAAGGGACCCAGACAGGCTCTTGAGTTTGGCATCATGGCCTCACAGCTCACAGCTGATTGGCCAGTGCGTGGTCTACAACTTCTGGGGTTCTTACAAACCGTCTAGTGCATTTCGATTCCTGACCTAGTCGCTGGAGAGAATTTAAATTGAGCGGAGGCACTAGGTGGTGCCAGCCTGGGTAGAACAGTGGAGGATCAGTGGGGGATCACTTTACCACTGTGCTTTTGTTGCACTCAAAAAAGGTCATGGTACTAGACAACACAATGTATGAGAAAGGTAGAGGTAGATACAATTATTAAAACGATGTAGTTGAAATGTTATTCCAATATAGGTTTATAATGCCACAAAATTCGTATGTGCATCTGACAGGTCTCCATGCTCTTATAATTATGACTGGTTGAGTGGGTAGTATCTGTGGTTAATAGTTATCAAAGCTTTACATCAGTTGTGGTCGTTTATGAAAAAAAAGAAAAGTAACATAAATACAGGAATAACAGAAACAGAATATCTCTAACAATGTCTTCAATATGAAAAATTCCAAATTGCATGGACAATTTACTCTATAGTTTAAAAATAAATTTCATGAAATGAAGGTATTGTTTTGGCTCTTGTTTATATTATGGTTGCAAGAACAGAGCTGGAACTGAACTGGAATTACATCTACATAATGTTACTGTCCGTGTCCAGTAAGATTGTGAAATTCACCAAACTAGAAACAAAATTGCACTTTTTTGTATAACACCTTAAATATAATGATGCTGACAATGTTTTAGTGAAATAGTCTAACCGGCACTTTTAGAGGTGTAGAACTCACCGGGTCCAGCTCCACAAACGAGTGTGGTGTACAGTCCACACACTCTCCTTCTTCTTCTTTGGCAAAGCGACAGTGCACCTTGTCTCCATCCACATCTCTGACCGACAGAGGGAAGTGGTGAGGACACTTCTCCCGGGCCCTGCATCAAACACAAGGAGTCAGAACCTACCTACTCTGGGTCAGCCTCTCTTTGGACTAGTGTTGTCACGATGCTAAAATTTCAAGCTCTATTTTAATACTAAGGAAAATACTCTTTATTTAGGCAATAGAATGTCATTTTCAACATTATAACATACAACATACAATATACTTTCTTTTACAGAGTATCCCCAGTTTGGCTACCCCAAATTTAAGACTTTTTAAGACCTTTTTAAGACCACTTAAATGAAAATTAAGACCAATATTGCACCCATTATGCAGGCGAAAAACACCAGGTCTAATTCTAACAATGACCAACCAACTACCGGTGCTATATCTAGGGCTACGTTTATATGATGACGGTCCTAACAGAGGACACAAAAGTGGCGTAGCATCTTCACTTTATTCTGCGTTTAGACAAGCGTTTTCGTAAGGAAATCTGCGTGCATACGGTTATGCAAAAGTGTGTGGAATTGGGTTGGGTATGCATGTCAGGCGGCTCGGCGGTGAAGCTAGGTGGTGATGTCTGTGACGTAAACACGTACACAACCTGAGCAGATCTGACCAGAGTGTTGCGTCTTGGGCAGTGTAGACAGAATTGATTGTTTACTCATTACCGCCGGTGCCATAAAACAAAGTATTATTTCAACATACTCCAAATTAGACGTTCATTCATATTACGTTATTTCACATTGTTGTAGTTTTTTACCCTACCTCCATTTAACATCGCACTGCAGCCTGGTTGTGTAAACAAAAAAATAGGCTAATGAAATTTAAGACCTTTGTGAAAAAAATAAGACTTGGACAACATAATTTAAGACTTTTTAAGGCCTTAATTTAGGAACATGTAATTTAAGACCTTTTTAAGACTTTTAAGACCTCGTGGCTAACCTGTTTTATATTACCATGTGGCCTTATATCTGTGTAATCCCTCAGTGGTGCAGGTATGTGCTCTTGTACTTCTTATACAGCGATGATTCTAAAGCTTTTCAGGGAAGGTTCATTTTTGAGGTGACTTTTTGAGTACTGATATCTGCTCAAATGAGTATCTAGGTTAGACACTAGTTTAAGTATGGATTAGTATCTGATTTTCTATACTTTTGATAATCCTAAATCACACTACTGCTGGAATAGGGTTTGTTTTCTCATTTGAATGTTTGACCATTTATACACGCTTATAATGTGTCAGAAAGTACACAGTTGTGTGGCGATGTGGTCGTTTATACCAGAACATGGTCAAAATACTCAAACGAGTGTGTAGGCATGAAAAAGCGGAACAGGATAAGCAAGGCAGCAGAGGGAGCTGAAGCAGAGGGAGGGCAATAACACTTGTAGACATTACGCTTTGTCCACCTTATCTTATATTACAGCACAATAAGACAATGTCATTTATTTTATGGTGGTTTTCAGATTCTAGACTGTGATAACAAACGTTGAACCTGATCATTTCTATTAGTGACTTGGCCTTCTTCTGTACTAGGTTTTACAACTTTAGAATGAACTTCAGTTGTATCAGACCAAGTATAAGAGCACAGGGATTACACACATGTAAGAAAACATGAGAATAGAAAATAAAGCACTTTGGTTTAATGTTGAAAATCACATTCTGTAGTGTTCTTTATTAGATATAGTTACAAATATAAGTACAAATTCCTCCCTTGATGATGTTCCTGTTGTTTACCTGAGGGGAGGAGGTAGGCCCACAAAACTTGGATTGTTGAGTTTGCCGCTGTTGGCCCGAACTAAGGGATCTGTCTGTAGTGCCACATACATCTCTGTGGAAGACCTGCAAGTTTCAACAGAGAATTAGAAAAATTAGAATATTTTGAGATTTGCAGATTTCCTACTTTATTTATTTATTTAGTGTATTTATGAGACAGGGACAGTGCACAATATACATTAACCATAACATAGAGCATGTTTTTTTTTTAGGCTTTGACAATTTCATTAACCAGATTATTATTTGTTTTGAGTTTGAGTCTGAGCTAGAGTTTGAGATTAGCTAGAAAAAAACAAACACTTTTTTGCTGGCAGAGAGGAGATGGTTATGTGGATAGGCCAGTAATTACAGAGATCTTAAACATAATCCTTCTATACCGCCCGTAGTTTAAAACAGAGCCGAAAGACAGGTTAGAATTCTTTTTTCATACTCAAAAGACAGATGTTTCATGCTATATGGTTAATATCTCTGTAGTAACTAGGGTAAAGTCAGTCAGCAAACGAAAAAGGTTATTTTATTCCCCCCCAAATAGCTTCAAAATGTGGTGGCATTATTTGTAACTTGAAAGGACTTTGAACATTAAAGGGGGCAATGTGCAAAATTGACTTTTTGGAGCCATCTAACATTTTATAATGTTGTACCCTCATTTAAACACTCCTGAAGAGGTTTAAGATGTCATCAATTTGAGTAAAATCAATCTCTCCCCGGCCCTACCAGTACGCATCTGTGCATGGCTCCACCCACAAGCCTACGTCACCCATGCTCCCGCACTGTATTTTTTAATAAAGTCACAAAAAGCATTATACAAAACAATACACTATCACTTCATTATAATAATGCATTCATGTTACATAGAGCTTTTCCAGATGTTGCTTTACAATTTTGTGGATTATTCACTGACTCCACACTCTGTGGTGATGAGTTAATTTGTAGCCATAAATGCCCTGGGGAAGCCCACTCCGACCTCAACCAACACCTGAGCAACACACATTTTCATACTAGACAATGCTGGTGAAGTGTCTTGTGTAAGGACCCAACAACAGCTTTTTGCCACTGGTTCCCTGTGGCACCTGTGCCACCCAGTGGTCTCCCATCCAAGTACTAACCAGACCTGCTTCTGAGCTCTGACGAGGTCAGGTTTTGACAAGGAGGTTTGGTCACAAACTTCAACAAACCTGATGTGATGATCATCATCACTAGCGGAAAGCAAGCTTATGCTAATGTGATAATTCTCTGAAGGGGGGAATGATTTATTTTTTATTTATTTGAGCGCACAATTTTTACATTAACCTTGACAGGAGAGATGCATTGTACATCAGGTTGTGGCATCAGTGCTAATTTCCACCTGTAGTCTCTGGGCAGATTCATTGATTGATTGTATTTAACTGACTTGACTATCAACTGTTCATGGAGACCTATGTAGCATGTTTTGTTTAAGTTTTAACATGGGAGGACTCAAAAACTCAAAAACTCAAAAAAAAAAAAGAAAAAGAAATCTATTACACATTTTAATGCATTGCTTTCGGTGAATACAGCATTTCTGAAACAATAGTAACATGATGATCTAAATCTAAGTCAAATGAGTAAGTTATTAAGTCAGTAAATAAGTTCAAATGAGCACATTTGTGGACCCAATCTATAACTAATAATAATGTGGTTAAAAAATTATGGATTTACAGCTTCGTCATTTCTTTCAGTCTCATATGGTCCTCTGCCCTTCTTCTAGAACGTAAATGCATCATAACCTATGAAGACTCTGGTCGCTTTAAGCACTACTCATACCCCAGTGAGATCTTGCCCGTGTAGTTAGCTGGGAGGGTCTTCTGCCAATGTTGGGCGCACCAGCCTGGGCTTGGTTTGTTCCCAGTGAAGGGCACGGTGTTACTCTCCACCAGACAGTCCTCTCCTGTAGCACAGAGCTCGGTCACAGCGCTGCACTCCCCGGACACGATGGCAGTGAAGTGGGCCCGTACCTGACACACAGAACATATATAAAAGAAGTGATATATTTTGTTCTGAACGTTACAAGAATTTTTGAGATGTTTTCCAAATTTGAGACACGTGTTACAGGTGATTTTACTGCTCTAAAACACCTCAAAACACAAGTATGCATATTGTGAGCACACTAGACTGGAGACTTCGCTGTTTACTTCACGTGCTCATCTTTAAACTTATATAACACCATTCTGTGAAACATTCCAGGAAAACCAATAACATCTCCAGAGAAACAAGCAAAGTTGCATAGCGTATCTTCAAAAATATTGGCACTTACCATCCACCCGGCGGGCGGGTGGATGGTAAGTGGTTAACAGTCCTCCACCTAACCTCGAGGGGAGATGTCTTCCACATTTGCGACACGTGCTACAGGTGATTATACTGCTCTAAAATACCTCAAAAAACAAGTATGCACATTGTGAACACACCTGACTAGAGACTTAGTTAGCTGTTGACTTCACGTGCTCATCTTTAAACTGATTCGGGGCCATTCTGTGAAACATTCCAGGAACACCAATATCATCTCCATAGAAACATATTAAAGAGCTCATCTTTAATAAATATTGGCCATCTACAGTCCTCCATATAACCTCTGCTTATGTAATCTCATTTGATAATTCTGAAATCACACCTTGTAACTTATAACTGAATAGATGAGATATAAATAAATATATAAATAAATAAATAATACAGTAATTGCTTGCACATATAAATAGGAAGGAGAAAAAAAACAATAACATAAAGGTTTTTATTGAATCAACAATAGAAGAACAAAACTATTATTTATCTCATACAGAAGAAATTATATATTTTGTCCTGAATGTTACAAGAATTTTGGAGAGGAGAGTTCTTTTTCTTATCTAAGTTTTGACAAAGGATTTTTACCATCTATGATCCAGTTCTATTCTCTTCTGGATTCAAACAGAGTGTAGAAGGGACAGGCTGGTAAGTGCAGTATGGCATTCTACATATCTATATTGCATATACCCATCAGCTGTTGCTATGTTACTTCTAAAATACCTTGGAAAAACATGCATTCATATTGTGAGAGGGGTCGCATCTCCACAGATCCACAGACTTGTAACAACACCACAGGGGCGTCACGTGTTTGTGTCCATGGAGATAAGATGAGTTCAAGTTCTCTGAGGAACATTATAGGCAAACATTGTGAACCTTTAAGCATTTTGAATTCCTCTGCGTTCAAATCGTGGTCCCCAAATAAAACCGTAGCCTTATTAATCATAAAATCAGAATTTAGAATACAAAAATGTACATTTATGATGGTCGTGGTTGGCTGCTTTTTTTTCCAACTTTTTTTTATCTTGATTTTTTTACTTAACACTTTGGGATTCTGACCAACTAAGCAGCCTGTGCAGCTCAAAGGATGGAAGTTAAGTACTACTGGACTGTGTGATTTGAGCTGTTTGTTTTTCCTGTATCCATGGTGATGCCCAGGCTTTAGCACACAGATGTGAGACACTTTTATTCTGAAACTGCCCTGAGACTGGATCTAATGACCTTACCTGTTAAGCAGACTTTTGTTCGAACTTTTCTGTTATTATTGTATTTCAAGTGATGCTCAAGTGATATTGATTGACTGATTGAGTATTAATAATAGCCAAAACTGCTAAAACTCTAAAATAGCCTTGTCTGCATCTTACAACAGAATTCCTGCATCCATCATTTTACTTTAGGGCAGTGCTTCTCAATTATTTTCTGTCATGCCCCCCCTAGGACGAATAAAACATCTCGCGCCCCCCCGCGTGACTATAGATAGTATCATTTGTCTATAAAATTGTTATAAGTACACCTCTGAGTAACACTGCCACCTTATATGATGCCACCGCTCGCTGGTTTATGAAGTAGCAGTCACAAGCGGGATGATTGTCGGCAATATTCGGCACGTTTTCGCTGAAAAATCTCAATCGGCTTATCAGAGTGATCGGGGTGTAATGTATTTAAGTGACGCCTTAATTTATTGGGCTTCATGCTGTCCGCTGCCAACATTTTTAGACACAGTAAGCACACCGGTCTTTCCTCGTCTCCCACCGTAGTCACAGTGAAGCCGAGCGCTACATACGCTTCGTCATATTTCCTCGTCTTAGCTTTCGGGAGATTTTCGTTTGTCTCTTTATCTCCGTCTCTCTCCACCTGTCTTCTCATCCCTGTTAAATATTTTTTCATGGTGTCACTTGAGGGTCTGCTACACTTCGTGTCTACACTTCATACTCAAACTCTGTGCTGTGTGCAAAGCACGCATGCTCAGTGCAAACAAAACTCCTACACCACCGAGCGAATGCTCCCTGCGCACACTCTGCCAATGAGAGCGCCACTGCCCCCTAATGTAGTGGAAGTGCAATTGCACTTTATTCTAAAGGCCAGTTCAGACCAAAGCGTCAAAGCGTCCACTTTTTTATGTAAAGTCTATGTGGACGCGCGACTAGAGCGTCCTGCGTTTTTGCGGCGCGTTTTCGGCGTCAGCGCGGCGCGAATCTGGCGTCAGCGCGGCGCGTCTTCAGCGTTTTGGCGTCAGCGGCCAAGACGCGCGTCCAAAGCGTCAGCGTCAAGAAGTTGAAAACTTTTCGCGTCAGACGCGCCGCGTCAACCAATCAGGGACGAGTATCCAGAGACGCAGCGACGTTATTATCAGGAAGAAAGACCCGAGAACCAGAACGAGAACCACAAACACGAGCGGAGAATAAATATATACACCACAATCACCGAGCTGATCGCGAGGAATACACCAGGACCGGACCAGGACCAAACCAGGACTAGACCGGGACTAAACAAGGACTAGACCGAGACTAAACAAGGACTAGACGGGACTAGACCGTGATTAGACCGGGACTAGACCGGGACTAGACCGTGATTAGACCAGGACCAGACCGTGATTAGACCAGGACTAGACCGGGACTGATCCAGTGTCATTAGCGGAGTAGAAATATATATACGCCCCAGTCGTCGACCCCGATCTCCTCCGTTGATGTTTTATGTCATAAAAACACTCTCAGTCTGGTCTGATATTGTTTCGGGAAAAGAGCGGGACCGGGGTCTTGTTTCCAGGCAACGGATGCGCGTCGAGTATTTTTTGTCCCGTTCGTCCACGGCGTCAAAGACGCGCGTCGGGGGGCGTCTAAACTCAAATGCAAAGGCTCCAAATAGAGGCGTCAAGGCGTTTTTTGACGCTTTGGTGTGAACGGCCCTTAAGACAGTAAAAAACATCTAAATAAAAAAATAAAAAAGCATGTTCCCCGAGGTCAAACGCGCCCCCCTTGACGGAGCCTCGCGCCCCCCCAGGGGGGGCCCCACTATTTGAGAAGCACTGCTTTAGGGTCAGTCCATATGAAATCAGTCGCCCTCCCCTATGAACCATGTCAGATTTGGCTGAAATTTTTTTTTAAAAATGTCTAGCGTTATGGCCCATTGAAATTTTGGGGCCATGCCCATTTTTTCGGAAGCCTTAATTTATAAGCATGTTTGCGAGACCACAACTTCATAGAAAATAGAGCTAGGAAGCTGAAAATGTTATTATAGTTAGGGGTGTCAAATTATCGCGTTAATTGCGATTAATTAATTACAGTCATATTTAGCGCGTTATGTTTTTTAATCGCGTTAATCTCATTTTTAATCTCTAATTTTACTGTTTCTGTATGCGAGTTGCTTTATTATAAAACCTGTTTTATGTGTTGTTGGGACAACAACACACACACAAAAAACACATTTATACATTTTTTTATTTCGGTAATTTCACTCATTGCCGGAAACCCACACAGAACGCACGCAGTAAGAGCGACGTAAACGTCATGTTAAAGTTGGCGGCGTTAGTCGCACAATGGACGAGGTCGTAGAGCCAGTAGAACAGAAGCAGCATCACACAGGTAAAAACGCATTCGTGTCTTGGAAATTATTCTCCCAACGTGAAATATAAAAGAAAATAACAAATATAAAATCACCTACAACTTAAATGTCACTGGTGAAAACAACCTGCATAGACTCATGATGTCTGCACTACTGTCCTATAGTGACCTGCCACATGAGGGGACACACACACAAACACACACAAACACAAAAACACACACAAACATAAACACACACCTTCATCATCGTCATTAACCTGAGAACGCGCGGACCACGTTTCCTTCCGTAGTTACTGCGCGGACACCGCTGTCCTCCCGTGCGCCGCGTGTGGATCGTGTTTTCTCGCGTACGCTGCGTAAACCGCGCTTCCTCCTGTGCGCCTCTAATCCAGAACTAACACCAAGACTAAAACCAGGACTAATCCAGTCCAGGACTAAACCAGGACTAAACCAGAACTAAAACCAGGATTAATCCATTCCAGGACTAAACTAGGACTAAAGTAGGACTAAAGCAGGTCTAAACCAGGACTAAAACAAGGACTAAAACCAGTGATCTCATATATAAAGTATTTCTCTATCAATAATATTTTTAATATGGTTAAGGAAAGACTGGACATTTTATTGTCTTTAAGTAGACAAAAGTTATTATGTTCAGATTTCCTCGTCTTTGCTACTTTACAGCAAACAGTTTCTTATTCATGGAGACTTAGGCTCAACAGCCAAATTGGAGAGATTTGTTAAACAATAAATGACTTTATAAAGTCACTTTTTTTCATCTATATCAGTCTTTTGATCTGCCACAATAATGTAATAATGAATTTAAATGAAAATACCTCAAATTGAAGGCTTTTCTCAGCAATTTTTAGGTGAGATTAAAATGAGATTAATTAGATTAATTAATTACATATCATAATTAATTAATCTCTCAATTGTTTTAATCGCATGACAGCACTAATTATAGTAGATTCTTGGTCATAGATTCTGAATCTTTTGTCAAATATTGGGTATCTTTATTAAGGGAGGGGCCCCCCAATTTTATTCTTTTTTTTTTTTTTTTTTTTGAGGTCCAAGATCTATTTACTCCAAGCAGATATTTACAAACTAACTGCTGAACCTGAATACCTGAGAGAATGACAATTTCTGACAACAATCGAGATTGTGCCAGATATCTCTCTTTACCAGCCAGGTCAATACAGAGAATGCACTTATGACAACAGGTGGTTCATTGGGAATATTTCAGAGCGTTCAGATAAACATGGTGATGTCTAAGTGAGATTTATGAATGGAGACGACAGAACCCTCATCTGTCCTCCTGAACATCGGCAGAACCATGTTGGGTCCCGTTTCAGCACAGAATATGTTGTATTAATGTACCAGAAGTTCAGGGAATAAGGGCACAAAATGATCGTCTTGACACAGCAAGTTCATTAGTAGTTAGGAACACTTTTTAGTGTGCAAACTACCAATACAGATGATCTACATGATCTACATAATCTCCAATTGTCTTCCATTATAACAAGTAATTCGTTTTTAAGGTTATTAAAGATAACTGAACCTTTCTAGCAGGTGGAAAAGTACCTAAGATCCACCAAAAACGACCTGTGCGAGCTCATTTTCAAAAATTCCGTTTTAAATGAAGGAAGTTAATAGTAGATGTTTTTATTACTTTAAACTAATCAGAATATGCCAAAGTTTCTCTGGTAAAAATTTTGTCAACATCTAACAGTGCCGGCATGGGGAACCAAGGGTCCAAAGAAGGGGCCAAAAAGGTCACATTTGGTCTGTGACCTTATTTGGGACTCCACAGTATCGACATGAAAGCTCAGAATAGTGTGAGACTGTTGTCATTCTCTGGTCATTCTCTTAAATATTCAGGTTCAACAGTTAGTTATATCTACTTGGAGTAAATAGATCTTGGACTTCAAAAATTGAAAAAAATGAGTGGCAACCAAATTTGAGATTTTGGGGGCCCACAGCACCCCCCTTAATAAAGATACTCAATATTTGACAACAGATTTAGAATCTATGATCAAGAATCTACAATGATACAAATTTTCATGCTTATAAATTAAGGTATCTGAAAAATTGGGCATGGTCCCAAAATTTCAACGGGCCATAACTCAGAAACAACTCAAAAGATTGAGCTAAACTTTTAGATTCTTTAATTTGGTCATTTTAGAAATGTTTAGAAAATTTTTCAGCCAAATCTGAGATGGCTCATAGGGGACACTCCTTGAAAATGGCTGATTTCATATGGCCTGACCCTTTAGAATGTTTCATGTTTTGGATGCAACCAATAGTTTCTCCTTTACATCCTCCATTTTCCACTCTGTAAAGTTGTTTGCTTACGGTTTGGCCATTAGTGGAGTCGAGGGGCACGACATGGACAGTCATCCCCAGAGGAGGACTGGTGGAGGCAGGCCAAGCCAAGCCAAAGGCCTGGAGTAGTATCACCAATGTCAGTGTAAACATGTCAGAAGGGAAGGAGACCTAGAAACAAGAACAAAATGAACATAAGAACACACCATTATGTGAATGCATAAACCTGGATAATATAGAACTTACCCCACATAGTGACATGTACAGCTTCTTGGAAGTGACGAGCTGAAAAACGCAAAATGTCTGTTAAGTGTCATAGAGGCAAAGATAACAAATCACAGGGTTAAAATTCCGGGAAAGCCAATGCGATGAGCCTATGTACAGACAGTACAGTTTCTATACTATAGGTGTGCTTTCAGAACATCTAATTATATGCTCCAAAGAATAAACTGATTTAACGCCATTCTGTAAAACATTGCAGAAACACACATACCATCTCCATAGAGCAAGCAAAGTCACATAGCGCATCTTTAATAAATATTAGCAATTAACAGTCCGCAATCTAAAAAGGAGAAAATAAACAACAACATAAAGGACTGAGAAATTACACAGATTTTTACAGAATCAACAACTGAAGAGGCAAACTATAATTTATCTCAGGTTAAAAAAAAAGATATATTTTGTTCTCAGTGTTACAGTCTGTTCTGAATGTTACAAGACTTTTGGAGAGGAGATGTCTTCCACATTTGAGACACGTGTTACAAGTGATTTTACTGCTCTAAAATACCTCAAAAAAACGTGTATGCATATTGTAAACACACCTGACTAGAGACTTAGCTGTTGACTTCACGTGCTCATCTTTAAACTTTAACGCCGTTCTGTGAAACATTCCAACAACACCAATAACATCTCCAGAGAAAAAAGCAAAGTTACATAGGGCATCTTTAATAAACATTGGCAATTAACAGTCCTCCATCTAACCTCTGCTTCAGTAATCTCAGTTGATCATTCTGAAATCACACCTTGTAATTTATAACACAATAGATGAGATATAAAACAGTAATCGCTTCAGTGGTTTCTTTTGTTCTTGTTCAATTCTCCAGTCATTAACAGTGTATACTTGGACACACAGAACTCACATCTTGTCCACGCCTAAATTAGATGGTAGAAAACCACCCTGAAATATGGCGCAAGGACGAACTGATGCAACACAACTGAACTGACTGTTAAAAATAAAACTGTTGTCTTGTAGTGTGGCACACCTATGAGTAAAATGCAAAGATCTACAAAAGAAAAAGAAAAAAAAAAGAATAGTAAAGGAATGAAAAGAAGGCTCACAAGCATTATATTGTTTTAGGCCCAACTGTTAGGTTTCCTTTTGATCATTACAAATTGGACATTTTGAATAATTGTTATAAGTGATTCAAGATGGATTCTACAAGTGATTTTTGATGAGCAGGATAAAATTTAGGTTTCAACTGGTACATTAAAGGGCCCATATTGTCATGGTTCATGTTAGTAGTGGTTGTATTTGCTCATTTTGGTGTTTTTATTTTGACATTAGTCCTGTCTGCTTGCAATTTGAGTTTTACTTCCTGTCTTGCTCGTTTGCCCCACCCTAATGTGTTTCACCTATGTCTGTGTGCATTTATACCCTGTGTTCTCTGTGTCTGCCCTTTTTTGGTCTATTGTCACTGTCAGAGTCTCATCTTGTCTCACGTCATGGCAGTTTAGTTTCGAGTTTTGAATTTTTTGGATTTATGGATTTGTTATTAAATACTTTAAAGCAGTGCTGCATTTTGGGTCCTCCCTCTGTTTCTACATGACACATATTACCCCATTTTCCTCATCAAAAACATACAGATGTGTTTTATTTCATTCACACATCTTTAGCACACAAGCCCTGCATAACTCTCTAATACAGAAAACACTCTGACATCGCTGATCCACCTTGGTATGTCATGTGGTAATACATTGCGACATTGTGTTTTCAAACTCCACCTTCACTAGAATCATCTGGATAATTTCAAACCTGGAATTAGAAATCTGTACTGAACAAAAGGTAAAAGGTAGCTGTTGACTTGAAAAATAAAGCTTCATGACATCACAAGGTGGAACTGAGCACTTGGATGTTTGGAGATGTAGTCTTTATAGTCGGGCTATGCTCATGTCTTCTGCATGAATTTCCTTCTTTATGTAAAATGTTATTTAAAAAAAATAAAATAAAATGTGTCAACAACCCATTGAAAAAAAAGTATTCATAATAATTCATTTTAATTATATTATTAATTAAAAAGTTATAATATGTAGCCTGTTTATTGTTCTAATGTAAGGAAATTGTCAGTCATAATGTCCATTTTGACCAGGTCTACGAGACGAGACAGACTAATGATAAAGGATTACGACAACACAAAATAACTCTGTGTGTGTGTTTTTGTTGTAACAACATTCCAACATGGCTAAAAGCTCACAGGAGTCTACTTTGAGTAAGACAGAACTTTTAACATGGGGTGGGGGGGTTAAATCAGATCTCTACATCTATCAGATAACCCAATAGTTACATCAGATTTTTGGTGCGAGTTTACAAGTGCAAATGATGACACATTATTTTCATTGTAAATACTTTCACAGGTGTAAATAAACAGAAACACATCAGATTACTTACATCATGATCAGATGTACCCGTTTACATGACATTTCAATTACTTGATTATTCCAGAAATCAGATAATGATCATACCAACTGCAAGTGAGGCGTGTTTTTTAGTCTTCACATTACCAGGGTGAATTCTAATCCAACACAATGCAAATTATCGTAAAAAAAATGCTAAAATATACTAGCAGTAATCGCTTTAGTAGGACAGTGGTATCTTTTGTTCTGTATCAGTTACATACTGTGATGAGCATCGCGTGTGAGAACACACTTCGCACAGGGAATTCACTTTGCATCTTAATCTTGGCGCAGAATCTTAACCAACTAGAATTGAAGATCTCCTAAATGTTCTTTGAAAACAACTTTTTAAACAAGTATAGGCTGGTGTAACGTCTAAAAGGATGAATTTACACAGTAGATAATGCTTCTACTACTGCCTGCAGCCAACAGTATTGATCTGCTAGAATAATTTCATCTATGGATCAGCTCAGATGTACAATACCAGATAAATTGAGGTAGTAGGCCTGATCGGTTTTATTATGCAATTGACTTTTTTCTGGCAAGCACTGTAAAAAGATTAGATTTGTGATTTATGGTTTAATAATAGGATTCTGTTCAAAGTTCACATTCTAAACGCGTCCAGAACAACTGATAAAAAGATTTCGATATGAACTGACAAAGTAATATAAGAATCACAGTTCATCACAGTGTTTCTACAGGCCTATACTACAGAGTTAGCAGTTTTTAAGCTGAATAAAACATTTTGGGTGATCTGTCAATTGTGTCCAATTCAGTTAAACTGCAATTACTGCACTGAAAGCTTTTGCGTTGTTGTTCTGGCCTTACTTTATACTACTTACTTTCTGTATACCAAAGTCCATTTTTAGTTACCTTATTTTAATGGATGCTCTTATTATTTTTATCATAGTTAATATTCTTCTTCTATTACCAGGGTGTCAAACATACGGCCCGGCGGCGAGATCCAGCCCTCCAAGACCTTTAATGTGGCCGTCAGCTGATTTTCTACTCAAATATTTTAATTATATTTTCTATTAAAATATTGGTAATTTTCTGCACCGTTTAGCATAGCAGCGTCTCCAGCGCCTCTGTACGTGGCCCCTCCCACCAGAGCAGCACAAATGAAGACTTGTCTCTTTCCAAACGCTCTTAAAGGACGATCGTTTTGATTGTGACACCCTCATCAGCAAAATGTCAAAAATGAGAAAAGTGGATGCTGAGTGCAGGATTTTTCCAGAAAAATTGACTTACTCCTATTTGCATACAAGTTCATGTTAAAACATTGTGTTGAAACTGAATTTTTCTTAAAGTTTCAGGTTGTTCATAATATTATAATACTTTGTAAAATTAAGAGTTCATCAGTTGAAAAAGATTTCTGTAATAGATTTGCGTTTCTCTGCACAAACATTTAAACTTATTGTTATTTTTGGGGTATATATGCCAGGAGTTTTCGGATCCAGTCCCTTTGGGATCAAAGTAGGTTGGATACGGCCCCCGGACCAAAATGAGTTTGACACTCCTGTTCTATTATATCCAAATTTGTGATTTTTTTTTTTTTTCCACTGAGAATGGCAATAAAATTGATTAGAAAACCCCATTTCTCACATGAACACCAGAACTTTGGGGGACCAAACCTCACTGTTTCCTTGGAATCACCTTCCACAAACCCTCAGGAACAGTTTATACACAGTTAAAAGGCACATTGTGTAACTTTTTGGTTGGGAGTCTGTCAATGACTGGTTTCTACAGATATCTCATTGCTCTGCCTGGAATCTCCCACAGTATACATTTAATAACTTAGGGATGACCAAAATGATCTAGAAAACAAGGCATTCTGAAAGCGAGCAGGGTCACCTCTGCACAGATCTGACCTGTAACTTTGTCTGGTCTCCATGAAGACAGAAAGGTTTAATACCATACTGCTCCAGACAAAGCACTAACATGTCCATGGTGAAAAACATTTGACAGACCCTCCACCAGAAACGTCACACAAAGCACCTTTACCTGCACCTGTTCAGTTCCAGTTCCAGTTCTTTGATTTGTTTGGATTATAATTCCGTTACTAGTTTATAAGATTAAGTATGATGACTGATTGTATTATGCACTATTATTTTTTATTTATTGTGCACATATAATTGATGATAATTATACAGTATGAAAGTACCGTTAAGCCATTCAAGTTTGTGGTTTGTCTAATAGAAATAACAAAAGAAAAATCATCTGAAAACCTTTGATTTATCATTGAGTATATTATAAGATTCAAAAGCTGGTATAAATTAAATAATACATGTACCAACATCAAGTTTTCTGTGGTTTACTGTGAAAACAATCTAATGTTTGCACCAAGAATTGTAGTGCAGTGGAAATGACCTCAAATGTCAGTGTTACAAGCCTGGGAGAAAGTCAGTTTCTTGTGGTGTTAAAATTCAATAAATACTTCAGAATTTGATAAAAAAAAAATTTTCTTGTCCATGATATTCAAAAGACAATTTTAACAAGTCAAATTTTATGGCGGCAAACGAGAATCCTGGAGGAACGGCTACACCTTATGCAGTTCAGGGGATTGTGTTTTGGTGAAGATCAAAATATTAGAATTTTGGAAAACCTATGTAAGTTGCAGAGAAATTCTTAAATGTATAACTACACAATTTTATATCAATTGCAAGTACAAACACAACTTCCTCATACAACCCGTACAGCAAATGGGCGCCTGAATCAATGCTATTCATATCACACCAAAACAAAAATATTAGAACAAAATGTGGTGTAAAATCATGATTTGAAAATATTTAAAAACCAGTCTAAAATATAGCAGTGAGTTTAGTTGTGGAAGCGTTCGTTTTTGTTTGTCGCAGGCGCTTCACGTACTTCCAGGCGGACTGACAGAATGATTTGTTTTAAAAAGCTTGAGTGCAGGAGTCAGAGCATGACGAGCCGACTGGTATGGCCAGCTCATTGCAAAAAAGAAAAAGAAAGCTGCTCAACCACAAAACACTTTTATATTTTGTATTCTGTATTGTATTTTTTTTAAAAACTGTAGGGATGAGACAAGATTTCAACAGATAAAATTGCCACCAGATTGTATAGTTTTTCTCATGTGTGCACAGATTTTTTTTCCAACCTGAATTTACCTTAGACAAAAAGAGTTAAGACCTATATTGAGAAGCTGTAGTTCCAAAAAGCAGTAGCACAATAGCCGCTAAAGTATGACATAAAATAAATTAAAAATAGTGTAGCCAAAATTGTGAAATTGATTGCACTACTTATTTATTTAAAAAGCAAATACAAAATCAAAATCTCAACTTGTCTCGCTGTCGTGACCTCGTGGTGTGTCTCATCTCGTGAAAATTGTGTCTTGTCCCAGCCCTATTAAACAGTCTTGGCGGTTTTCAGATTCTAGAATGTGATGAGCCAGTTTTTCCTATTGCTTACACTGTACTTTGGCATGAAATATCCAAAAGGGAAAGTCACAAATGTTGGTAAAATGTTGACGCACATCACTTCTGTTATTGACCCAAAAACAAGAATCTGCATTTGAACAAGACTCGTTTTGGCTCCCATCATTTGCCTGTAGAATGTTGTGATGTTGCCTGAAATCCAGCAATAGACTGCATATGTTGTTAATATTATGTTCTTATGTTAGCTCAAAACTTTATAAAAAAACATAACACGAGCCTGCCTATGGACACAAGTTAGCATTTCCTCTACAACCTGAATATGTATTGCACGACCTGATGTTAAAAAACAAAAAAACGTATGTACAAACCTGTTACCCACTATTCCAAAATGTAAAAAACAAGATTACCTTTAATGCGATTCCACACCGTTGTGAACACTTTGTGAGCGCTTTATCTAAAACTGAGATTTTGAGACTAAACGTTATCGCCACCTGCTAAAATTTAAGGCGGAGTTCTTCCAAATTTGGACAGTCACAGAATGGTGTCAAACAGGTAGAACTAGAGGCCGTAAAAGAAAGCTTGACAATGGCTGAGCGTCACAGGAACAGAGGAGGAGGGGAGCAGGGGGAAGAGGAGGAGGAGGAAGAAAGTATAGATTGTTATTAGATAGATTTACCTGAACGAACAAGCGTGTTAAATAAGGAGCTTGCCTGGCCTTACAGATGTGAATGCTTTCAGTGCGCTGCCTGTGTCACTCTACACCTCCCTAACGTGTTACCTAAGACAGAAACAATTATGAGACAATAAACGTACAATTTACAAGTTACTTTTTACTGGGTGCAAATACAACAAAAGGAATGATAGCCGTGTTACAATTCATTGAAATCGGAGAACAATGTGGTCCTAGGATTTAGCTTTTTTTTGGTCTTCAGAAAAATATTACATCTCAATAAGACATTAGGTGATGATTTTGAGTTTAGTCCAGCTGGAAAATGTCCAGAGGGAATTTTAAAGGATTAAGAGTAGTTGGGCCAAAGCCAATTGCCGCTCTGATCCCGAGGAGTGGAGAGTCGTTACTGTCCGTTCTTCATATTGAGCATTTTCTCCTGTAAAAGACAAAAACATTGAATATTATTGATAGAAAATGGTCTATTGTGAGATTTTAGACATGTTATAATGCTGTGGCCTCATCAAAAACATACCCAGAGTCGAGTTTTATTTCATTGACATGTTTGGAGATGTGGACAGTTTAATAATAAAAGATTACTCAAAGATTAAAATGCTGTCATGAAGTGGTAGTTTCCGAGTAAGTAGCTACCTTTACATTTTGTTTCGCAGAGATTTGCAAGTCCAAAGCTGAAATTAATATAAATTATTATGATTTTAATGAAAGTGTATGGAGTAACACAATACAGTAAACACAGTAGAGCACTTCCCGTATTACTACTAACAGTGTTTCACCAGAGCGTTTGCTATGTGAGAGAAAAACTTGGCCTAAATATTCAGAGTTTGAGAGTTAAATGTATGTGAATCAAACAAAACTCCAGGTATGTTTGTGATAAGGAAACAACAAAACAGATGAGAAAATAGAGTAAGAATATGGGTCCTTTAAGCAATTTACTGTCAGGACTGTACTGTTTTGTTTTTGTACAGCGAATATACCAACCCCAAGTTTTACTACATAGAAACTTGTAAAAGTCTTACCTTAATCATCGTCTCCAGCTTGATGGCGTCGGCGGCGAACTTGCGGATGCCGTCAGACAGTTTCTCCACAGCCATGCGGTCCTCGTTGTGCTGCCAGCGGAAAGACTTCTCGTCCAGGTGAATCTTCTCCAGGTCACAGGTCTTAGCTGCAAAAAACAAACAAACAAAAACAAAAAAAAAAACAGCTGGCAATTAGAGCCATACTCCCATACAAGTGACCATGGGACAACTTACAGCATTTTTCTTTTTACTTTGAAATAAAACTAGGATCACATGTAGATCTTTTACATTCTGTTAATTGAAAGCCACAATATTGACTAATATATAAACACAAAACTGACTCCTGTGAGTTTTAAGCTATATTAGAATGTGTTGTGTTGTGCTGTGTTGCATTTTGTCTCATTCATACATGTTTGATTAACCCTTTATTAGTCTGTCTACATCTCCAAACCTCAAAATGCTCTCTTCCGCTTTGTGAAACAAGTTAACAGCTACTTTTTACCCTAAATTCAGTAGACATTGGCAATTCCAGATATACAGACAGACTAATAATGCAGCATTACTCAAACATAACATGTATGAATTAAACAAAAAAACAACCCTAGACCTATATGTTTTGGATGAGGTAACAGCATTATAAAATGGGTAAAAGCTCACAAGAATCAATTTTGCCTCATGTAGGACATTTAAGTAAAATATGTACGGATGTGTCATCAATGAGACAAAATGATGTCATATGTGGTAGCAGGTTTAGGAGGGGGCTGTGAGGACATCTGATTTAGTTTAAACTGGATTAAGTGTTTGGCAGGTGCCCAGGGCTCCGCAGGAGGACAGTTGATGGTGGCATTACCTTTGTCCACATGGAGCATCTGTGGCACAGCACTGTGGTCCTGGCTGAGTTCGGCTAACAGAGAGGGGGAGATGGTGAGGAGGTCGCATCCTGCCAGGGCTTTCACCTCGCCCGTGTTTCTGAACGAAGCTCCCATCACCACGGTGCTGTAGCCAAACTTCTTATAATAGTTATAGATCTTAGTGACGCTGATCACACCTGGGATAAACAAAAGGAAAGGTAAAGTGAGCGATGTATTGAAACTGTTGACTGTGGTATGGTACAAAGATGCAGCTTTACCAGTTTGAGACAACGTATTTAAATAGGTTTAATTATAGCTTAGCACATATGCACAAGGTCACAGAAAGCCATGAAAAAAAAAAAAAAAAAAAAAAAAAACACACACAACATTCCAAAACAGAATCCATGTATCAGTTTACCAGGATCATATTCTGTGACAAAGTTTAATAAACACATTCTGCTTCTTCACTAATGTGGTCAATAAAAACTTTGGATTTTGACGTGTCTTCATATTAGGAGAGTGCATTAATTGCCACAAAGGGTACTGGCACATACACACTAAACCCAAATGAGGGCAAATCACAATTTTCAGTAAGAGATATAGAATATGTTAACTGCTTTTTCTATTTAAAATGCAAGGAATAAACTCCATTCCCAAATACCAAAATGTAGTTTGAACTGTCCATATGTACATTTGTTTATTAAAAATGATTGATTACTAAATGTTAAATCAAAAAACACAGATTCTATAGAGACTTAAACCCTCTGGAGCAGACAGTTTCTGCCAGACATTTCTCTTATCCACTATAAATGATGAATTTAATAATATGCATTGTGGCTGCTGTGCTCTGTCAAAAATAATTTAAAATAATATAAAATGATTTTTCAACACAAATATAACATATAATTTCTTTGGATCTTTGCTGCATTTCCACATGAAGTGAAGACAACAGGTTAACTGTAAACATCCATAATTAAATCAACCTGATGCATGAGAAGAGCACTGGTGTTTTCAACATTTTACAGAGGAAGTCAGATGGGATGAAGAAACAAGTTCTGAACAAACAACATTACATCAGGTCAGGATGGACTCGTCTGCACAACATAGCCATTAGACCTCAAGGCAGTCATTTGCTAAAACACCTATTCATAGCTAGCTCCATACTTTAAGAATACTTCATCTTACTTTGTAAATCTAAAGTCATGAAAACTTGGGTTTTTCCTGTCTGCGCTCCACAGACATCACTCAATGCAAATATATCTTGAACCTGTTGAGCACTAGTACCAGTGCCCTCCTATTTCACATACACAGGGAAGTGAGTATTTAACAGACATAGATGATATTTGCCAGGTTCAGACAGCTGCCATCATCTGATAATCCAAAGGTGAAGCGTCCAAATGAACCAAAACAAACATGGCCAAAGAGATCTGCTTTCCTCTCAACGCTATTGGACCAAGGTTTGCTCGGCTGATGCTTTGACTTATCCGTTTGAACTTTCAGATCGCTATCACTGAGAGCCATTCCAGATTGAGAAACGTGTAGAATTCAACTCGAGTGTTGCACATATCTATCAGATGTTAAAATAAGTTAATCATCTAATGCATGTGCATCAGAACTTTTTTAATTTGGTCACTTGTTGGAGCTTCTCCCTCAGGGTGGACTTATGGGCATATATTAGAGTGTTGTCACAATCCTAAAATTTCAAACAAGATTTGAATACTCAATACAACATCCGATACCAGGATGATAATAATAAAAAAAAGAAAACACTATTTAAACAATAGAATGTGATTTTCAACATTAAAAATATATTTTCTTTTCTACTCCCATGTGGTCTTATATGTGTGTAATCCCTCGGTGGTTCAGGTAGGTTCCATAGTGGTCCATGCGTGTATACAAGTCTATGTGCTCTTATACTTGTTCTGATACAGCTCCAGATTATTCTAAAGCTATTCCGGAAAGCTTCATTTCTGTCCCGTGAATATGACTTTTTAAGTATAGATACGTGCTCAAATGACTATCTAGTTTCGATACCAGTTGCTGTATCCATTGCTAGGATGAATGATGACTTTGAAAGCAGAATTGTAAAGCCCATTAAAATGTTAGGTTTACCTGGGTCTTCGTGGGGCTCGTAGCTCTTGTTCTCAGTGTTCTCTTTGTACCAGTCCAGGATGCGGCCTACAAAAGGAGAGATGAGGGTGACCTTAGCCTCAGCACAGGCCACTGCCTGAGCAAACGAGAACAGCAGCGTCATGTTACAGTGGACACCATGTTTCTCCTCCAGCTCTCTGCAACACACATAACAAGGATCCACACTTTATAATACACAGTACAATGAAGTCCAACATTATTCAGACCAAGAAGGCAGGTAAGGAAGGGAATGCTTCACTGGGTCAGGAACTGTGTAGAAAAATGTAAAAACGTCACATGCTCTTAGAGAATGTGAAAGACACATACACAAAGAGCCAAAACTTGCCTTGAAAGAGTTACACCAATAGGTAGAAGGATCCAAGGCACACTGACCAGGTACACAAGTCACTTACAGCATTCCTCAGATCCTTCCGCCTACTGGTACAACTCTTTCAAGGCAAGTTTTGGCTCTCTTAGTATAAATATTCCGAATAGGTCTGAATATTTATCCTAATAATTAGTTTCTGAATGTGACTAAAACTGATGTACTCAGTAAAAGACCATTCATGGTTCATAATGTTTATGGTATGCATGTTCCTTCCCCAATGACTCTACTCAAATGACTATTGCACAGCCATGAGATTAATGACCACTATCCATATGCGGCCTTCTGGCTGTTTCTTTGGTCTTTAACACACTCTTCAGGACTGGGAGCACAATTAAGGTACTACAGACAGCTAAGAAGAGCCTCTGTCCAAAATAGACCAAACAGATTTGGGTTGTGTATAGATGCACCAAG